TTATTATACCATAATACTGTTCCAGTTTACATACAAATTCAACTTAAGGACAGATCTTGGGAACAGAACTTGTTCTCAAACTAGAGACTACCTGTAACAAGTAAAGCAATCCTCTGGAGAAAAAAGGCAACAGTTCCAAATAATGCAAAAACAACCTTGCAAAACTAATAAATATGATTAATAAACTTAAAACAACAAAATAATAAGGAAATAAGTTTCATATTCAGAGGTTACTCCCAGCCAAAGGCTCCATCCAGCTTCATTATAATTTATGACACTTTTGCCACTAATTGAAAAGGAAGTCAGACTATAAATTAAATTACAGTAGCAGTACAGTAAAAATGAATTGTCTTGAAATATACCTCTGATTTAAGCCTTTCAATTTCTGTGTCTTGATCTTCAAGTTGATGGCGTAGCTGATTGGCTGAAATCTTTTCTGTCTCTACAATCTGAACTAGATGGATGTATTTTTGCATTAATACTTCCCTCTCAATTAGAATATCTGAATAGCTACATGTTGAAAAAAAAGAATGAAAATGTTTATGTTAGCAATTATGTAGGCAATACATTTAAAACTAAGTCAAAAGTACTAGATTCCATTATCCCTAGTAAATAAATTAGTAAGTATATTCCCATACATTTTTATTTTTTACAGCTACTGCAGAAATCTGACCAAGAATACTTAAATATGCAGGGGTGAGGAAAGGAGCTTTATTGGTAGTATTAATGTTACGATACTCTTATGTATATCAAAACAGAGTTTATTCCATTAAGTGGTTTTTGACCAGTAAGCTTCCTATTATTTTCTATAAACTGTAGCCACTCTACACATTCACAGGCATTCTATATTGGATTCCCTTGTATAGAACCAGTATTTAATGTGGGGATACGTAAAGGAAAGGGAGTTTATCCATTTATTGTTAATTTAAATAATTATTGTAACACAAAGTGCTATGGAATGTATGTTTTATTTAAGTAATATTAATACATGCCAGAAGTATCAAAGGTTCTGTTTTAAGACATTGGTCTTGGAAAAACTGATTTTTCTTTGTCCATAGCAATTTGCAATATATTAACCTCAGGGTATAAAACTAAATGCTGTGCAATCAGTACTGAAATGCTTTGTCTGTCTTTGGGACAAGGATAAATATAAAAAACCATAGTATTGAGTGAAGCCACCTTCCAAAGAAGCATTCTATTCTCAGCCACAGGAGACAGACCTGACAATAAAGGGTTAACTCCACCTCTTCTAGTTATAAAGTAGGGCTTCCTCTTCTAGTTATAAAGTAGGGCTTCCTGTGTCATGCAGGAAATGATCTCTTCTCTTGGAAAAGCAGTAGCCTTCCTCTCAGGTCCTGAGAGAACAGCCATGCAAAAGAGCCTTCTGGTAGCTCTCTACCAGCAGGAAGCTACAGCCAAGATAGCCACAGAGGAAGTGGCAAAGAAATTGGGGACAGAAATGTCAGGGAAAGAGTCTGATCAGCCTGTTGAAAAGCCAAAGTCATTCAGGGAAGGGACAGCCTTCAGAGCAAGAACCAGCCAAGGAGACTGCAATAAGCTCAGCAGCAGGTAGACCTATCTCCTCCCTCTTTTGGAAGAGGTCCTGGCTGACAACAGAAGCAATCCTCTGGCAACCAGCTACAGTAGATAGGCCAGAAAGAACAGCACAGCAGCACTCAACCCACTAAATCTTCAACAAGAGCACATTTTTGGAGTCTCCTTCTACTCCATCAGCTGGATAGCAATGATCTCTGAAGAATAAGACTTGTCTACACATGTAAGGTATAGGAGCCCCAGCCAGCCCCCTCTTCAATAGTTGCTTTTACCAAAGCAGAATTATATGTGATCCTAAACTATCCTGGAAGGAGGCACCCTCTTTTTTTTAATAGGAAAACAGCTATTTTCACTTCCAGAATCCCATCCTGTGAAGCCTATTTATCACCTGCCTACTCACAAGCAGAAAGAGAGGACAATGGAGCAAGGAGAAGGCTACAACTCTGACAATCTCCAGCCTCAGACAGCCTAAGCAACCTGGGAGGTCTCCTATTTTTCATGGGGAGCAAGACAGAAGCCATACCCTATAGGGCTAGATCAGGAAAGGAATAGCTCTCAGTTAACAACATTATGCAATTTGCATTTCTCCATCAAATAGATATGCCTAAATTCCTATAGCTGTCTGTGATTATAATAACAAACAGCAGAATATTTTCTTTTAATTTATACCATATGTTTTATTTAGTTCCCAGAAAAAGATAATTTTTGTGAACACCCCAGAAAGAAAAATAACAATGTTGCAATAAAAAATGAGGATATCAGTTCTTCAACATAAAAACAGATCTCAATAATGAACTGTAGTCAGCCATATACGTATATGAGAGTTCAGAGAAATGATCGCAACCAAGAAGAAACAGCTAGAAGTTAACAAGATCTTCATCTGGGTGATTGCTGAAAGCAACAGAGGAGAAAGTACAAATGTGCCTTCTCTGATCAACTCCTTGACTGGAAATGTGGTGTTGAAATAAGAAATTCCCTCTCAATCTTCTCACACTATCTGAAAAACCATAAATTCTGAAATGTAGCAATTATTTATCACATTTATAGACAGGTGCAATCCCAAAGGACTCTTGATAGTTCAGGCAGATAAAAATATGCAATTAAAATATCTACAATCTAAAGTAAAACATAGAATGCAAAATATATAACAAAGCCAATCTATAAACCCAACCAAATGCCCTCCAGAAAAGCTCTGTTTCTGGCTGCTTCGTTGATGTCCAACGTAAGGCCCTCCTCTCAACTCCCTAAGACTCTAAGAATGAAATCACAAACAACTTCTCCCAGCTAGATCAAATTTGTATCATGATGCCACTCAAGATCAAACTAGAAGTAAGCATTTTCTTGCAGCCAGAGAGTGTATTTTAACATCCTGGTGTTACCAGAGTGGGTTGGTAACTTGTTTCAGACTGTTTTTCAAAAGGTCTGGAGCTTTAATGGATAAAAAATATGCCTTAAGTCATCCATTTTGCCCTTTTCTCAGTGAGAAAATCCACCCATGGGGAGGGGGAAATTAGCTGACAATTTTAAGGAGTGGATTAGGACTACAGCACCCACTATGCCCTTTAAAATCTTAAAGGAGGACAAATATTTTAGCCTTACCTATTCCAGGGGTGCTTTGGGGGACTACAAAATGAATGCTGCAAGGCCACATATGGCCCAGTTCAGCAATGGCTTTTCATGTTAGTTTACTGTTTTAAAAGTGTCTCAAGCTGCCACTTCTGTCTCAGAAGATGCAACTACCCATACAGACAAAATACATGAATCAGGCTGGGTTGGGACTACAGACCTGTATATCACGTATAGCAAACAAATGTGACAAATCAAGGTGAATGGGGATTTTGGAGAGTTATGGTGATGTAGAAACAGACATTTTGAAGAGTATTGGCCTGAACTTTTCTTTCTCTGCATTATAAGAGAGAGGAGGCAAAGCAAGAGTTGATAATGGGGAAGGAAGGAAGGAAGGAAGGAAGGAAGGAAGGAAGGAAGGAAGGAAGGAAGGAAGGAAGGAAGACATTGTCCCTTAGTCAAACCAAGTTTTTAGTAGCTGGTACTGGAATTCCATACCTGGCTTGCTGAATAGCCTCCACCCATTCTTCTCCATCTGCTTCCTCCTCACAACGGAGCTCAAGGGGCTTCTGCCCTTCATGGCCAAAGAGGACTGTGAAATAATACTGTAAATAGTTTTAAAAAGGTTTAAATATAATGTAATAATAATATAATATAATTAATAAAATATAAATATTAACTAAATAGTACAATCAGTACATACAATGAAGGGGGGGGGGGGGGGGGGGGGGGGGGGGGGGGGGGGGGGGGGGGGGGGGGGG